AGAATGATTATTATACTTTCCACTTTATTGAGAATGAGAAATGCAACTGCTTGGAAGAGAATGTTAAATACGAGTTTTACAATACACTAGTTGCTGTGTATTTACAATCAAAAGTTCATCTTCTCTAAAACTAATTACAACTACAAACTCCAAGAGATTTATTGGTTATCAGCCATATCTGACAATCTGGAGACACACAGGGAATTTTCATTTTCAGTTCCAGGGTAAATGCTTTTAAAATACTATAATTAGGCTTATCTGACAGTAGTATGTACTTTAATGAACAGCTGTGCCTTGGGTTGGTACACCATATTTGAACCTAGCGCACAACAGCGAAGAAGAATTAAAGGTGCTCTATAGAAACAAGCAAGTTAGACTCCAAGTTACAGGTCAGATCTGTGGAGACTGAGGCAACCCTGCTCTCAGAAGAATGCATGTCCTTCAAGGTATTTGTTTTAACAATAAAAATGCATATATCTTATTAATAAATGTAACAGCTGCGACATTCCTGGCAAAGCAATAACATCTCAATAGGAACAAGCCAGAAAAGTTAACTCAGTGCAACTTTGAATATGTCCTTACTCAACTTCTTGCCGGCACACAATCAATAAAATACAAACTACTCTCTGTCAAAATATATATGCATGGCTTACTGTTGACCAGCCATTGTTTGTGACTGAGCAGGCTCCTAAGTCAACATTATTTGAACAAACTCCATCACATTTTGATTGAAAAGCTGTTTTAAGTGTTTTTCTGGCACCACTGGGACAGTGTCTTCCTTAATGATAAAACTAATCCAACAGTCTGATTTCTCTGTTGGACTTTCTTTAATGAAGAATAGTCTGCATCGGGCACATCCGGGGGCTGGCTGTGTGCCGGAGAAACCAGGGACGCAGGAGGACACAAAATGGAGGTGTTTATTTAGACAAGGCCATAGACACAAACACAGAGAAAGAGACTGACCACAAGTGAACAGGTGAATACAAAGAAACAGACCCTCTTAAGAGTGCTGTGCTGCTAAAGAGAGCTAATGTTTTTTTTTTTAACTCCATACAAATATGGGTATTCACTAAATGATAAATATAATATGGTCAGAGAATAGGGAGCAATATCTGATGTAGGTTAATTGCATAAACAAGAATTAAAAACACAAAGGTCATGTGTCAACAGGCCAGGGATAAAATGAACATGTCTCTTGTCTCTCTTCTATTTAGTAAAAATGTGTAGAAATAACAGAAGACATCAGTCAATAGACATATTTGGATTTGAATATGGGAGAATAAATGACACTGGAGTCCTGGTAAATGTTTAAAAGAAAAAAAAAAATCTAGCTTTCTGTTTTGTTTTTGTTTTGTCATCACCAGAATACATACTATATCCAGTGACTGTCTAATCTTTCATATTATTTGTGGTTTACTAAGTACATGACAGGAGCAACTTCTGAGTGTATAAGCACAACAATAATTCTATTTTCACATTGTTAATCTGTCATTAAAATATGGTAATAAACTGATTCGAATTCAAATAAAACATAAATTAAAAGAAGAAAGAGAGGCATATGGAGAGACAGGAAAGCTCACAGGCTGAACAGCTGCTGCACACAAACACAACAGACATCTACATATTTCATATATTTTACTCAACATGTGAGTATTCGGTATTTATGCATGTTTGAATCCAAACTGCTGCTCTATTGTGCGAAGTGGAGACAATAGGTGTTTTACAAGAATGCTCCAAAGCCATTAAAAGTAATTTCAGTCAGAACTGTCAAAAAGAGTGTTGTGTGCAAATGTCATTGAGGCTGTAATTGGCTGCCTATCTGTATTAACATATTGCAGTTTATTACCATATTAATGTATAGCAGTCCACGGAAAGTTGCACAATACAAAGAAAATACATTCAGTGACGAGTGCGTGTTATCAGAGCTCAGAGGCTAATGATGATAAATGATCCTCACAAAGAAACTCTCATAACTTGAGCTGTTAAATATTATTCGAGCAATTATATAGATTCTGGACTACAGGCTTCTATGCATTATTCAGCCTTCAAAGGACAGAGATGTAAGACTTTGTGACTTAGTGTAATTGTTCCTGACATTTTCTGTCCCAAGTACCCCCTATATCATGTACTATGTGTTTGTTTAACCATTAAAATATGTTAACTAGCATATCCCCAATTAAAACTGTTATATTTTTCTTGTTATTAGCCTTTAGAAATATTAATGATGTAAAATACGCAACAAAGAACATTTCCTAATCAAATGCTCACATAGTCCAAGAGGTCCTCACACCCCTCATTAAGAAACTAGATACTCATTTGAGCAGGTATCAATACTAAAAAAAAAAGTCACATTCACAGAACAGAAATGATAAATTTATTGTGAGCTGTATCAGAACAAGTGTAAGAGCACATTGACTATGGCACCTATGTGGACAACTGAGGGATTACACAGATTTAAAGCCACATAGTAATAGAAAGGGAGGTACTATTATTTATGTTGAAATTATTCCTTAGTATCAAAATTGAGTTTAAAATTTTGGTATTGTGACAACACTACTTAGTAGATAGAGAATCTACCCCTGAAATATAAGTTTCATTGCTTGGGATACACACTTGGTCGGCATTTCCAGGATATAAGATGATTAAAATGTCAATTAACAAGATAAAAGATAAATAGATTTTTACTTCACCAGGAGCAAAATGAATATTCACCTCCTGTGATCTTTCCATCATTTTTAGCAGAGTCAAAAAATAAAATTCTACCCTTAATAAGAAATTCCCAAGTACCGGTCAGAGGGTAACCTGAACAAAGTGTGCACAAATAACTCCCTTTCTTAGCCAATGAAGCTTCATGAGCTTATTGGAAAAACAGTAAAATAGAATCCATCCCAGCTCAGAGTAAGTGTCCCCAGGAATTGTATCTGCAAAGTTCAAACTCAGGTGAGGCACTCCGCTACCAAAACAAACCAGAAACTCACTTTATTTTCTTGCATTTTAAGCATATGCTTCTTGACTGTTCAGGTAGGTTTCCATTTTATGTTACATTTATTTTATATTTTATAGGACAAGCCAAAATGCATACTGTGATAAAAAAAAAAAATTCATCTAAAAGAACTATGATGTATTTGATGTTTTACTGTTAAGTCTTTTGAATTCAAATAATATCAAACAACATTCACTTTAAATCAACAAACTTTTGAGCATAAACCATTTTAGGGGAAAAGGAGCCACAACAAGCCTCAAACCTGCTTTTATGCACAAATTGTGTGAAAAGTTGATATAAAATACACAGTTACATGTGACTAGACACACAAAGAAAATGGCAGCCCCAGAGAGAGTGTCAGAGCTCGGCAGTGGAAAGCGTTGAGATAAAAGATGACAATATCTAATCCTCATCCTGGGACTGGCAGAGAGAACGCAAAGCTTTGGTGCTCCTGGTGTCATACGCAGAAAGCAACCAGCCAGGAGACATTACAGGCAGATAAAGATGCAAAAGTGTTCCCTGACAGTAAACACTACAGCTCTTTGTTTGAGAGAGAGGGGGGAGGCAGGAGGGGAAGGAGAAAGAGATAGGAGAGAGAGAGGGAGAGAGAGAAAAAGCGAGAGAACGAGACAGAGAAGACAGAGAGGGGGGGGGGGTCAGAGAGAACAAGGAAAAGAGCGAGTAAAAGAGAGTGAGATGGCGGGGTGGGGGTAGCAGCGCACTATAGTCTTTAAAAGTATCTACTGTACTGTTTAAAAGCAAATAATGCATCTCTATATTACTATGTTAAAGTTATTTTATGTGTTATAATAAACAGATTATACACAGAATCACAGTCTCATCATTTAAACCTTGTAAGGCAGGACATCGCAACACAAATACATTTTTAAGCATTTTTTTTACTTTACAATGAATTCGATTTCCCCTTGATAAGCAAAAATTGTATGCTGAAAAGAAATAAATATGTTTTGCGTTCAATATACAGTATTTCCTAAAATAAAGAAGAATAAAACTAAGACAGGTTAGCTAAGCTTCAAATATTTGAAGCAAATGGAAGAGCTTCTTTGATTTTTCTTGACTCACTCCATCACTTTAGCCATCTCAGAATAAAATAGATTTTCTCTCATAAAAGCTTTCTGTCTTGACCACAACAACAGGCTCATTCAGGACACTGACCTTCACAGTGTCCCTAATGTCCAAACCAATGGCACAATGAAGATTAATGCAGAGAGGAGCTCAAGTATTACAACCCTTGTAAAAGAAATGTGCTTGATACAATCTATTTACTGCATTCTTTACCTTTGTAGTATGAGTGATTATGAAATTACAACATAAGAACATTCGATAAGACTCAATACCCTCGATAAAGCATGAATAAAGACTTAAGTCAAAATGAACAACTAACTCAACCTCTAACCCCTTTAATTAAGTAGTCACTAAGCCTGAGTCATTCTTAATAAGCTGTTCATGTTTTTGCATTGTCTCCTCATGCTTTGACTGCAGATCACACATTCCTTACCTTTCAGTGATGAGTACTGCTTTAGCATAAATGTAGAAGACACTCTTGTACATGCAGATACATGAAGTGTGCAGTGCAGCATTACCATTACAGTTAGCTACGATTATTCTTCTCTTCATCCGATATGGTCTTCTTCATCAAAGACCAGTCCACTATAATTGAATTTTTTATCATCATTGATCTAAAATTGTTAGAAAAATCTACTGAAGCAAAAGCGCTGATTCTTTGCTTTCATGGATTTCAGCTTCCTGCTACATGAGACATTTTGAGGACTTTCTCCAATTAAAAAATATTTTGTTTTAAATTATTGATCGCTATGGCAACAGACCATCCTAATAACTCATCATTCTGAGACCCATGGATCAGTAGAGTATTCACTGATGATGGTTTTATTCGATTGCACTGTGGTGCGTAGTTTCTTGAACATTGCATTTTGCCTAGTGTCTGCACATGCTGTGATGTGTCCTTACCTTGAATACCAGAGTGAGCGTGCACTTTGCTTGTGTACAGTCATCTCCTGATCTCTCCATGGACATCCTTCAACGAACCATCTGCAACACATGAAACAGAATAGACAGTGTAAAAGCAGCCGAGAGCCCAGAGTGTGGTTGATATTGTTTGCGTTGTCAACAGCGGCGGCGCGTTCCTGTCACGTCTCATTACATTGCTGCTATGATGCTTGTCAGGGCTGTTGAATGGCTGTCACTGCTATACAATGACAGAGAGGAAGTACCTGAAGCGTTGCACAAATCTATAGTACTGGGAGGAGTCAGGGTCTTGGCAGCATTGGTTGGTTTGACTGCTTGCTTGCTAACAGGGAACTTAGACTTAGACAAACTTTATTGATTCACAAGGGAAATTACTTGGACACACTCGCTCACGCATCACAATATATAATATGTTATAATACAAAGAGTAAAATGTGTATATGGTAATAATACATTCTAAATAAGCAGCAAATAAGGCATAATTATATAAATGTAAAAAAATAAAATACATAATAAGTAATAAAGCAAGTAGCTACAGTACATACAAGAGGCCATAAGAAAAACAGTGCAAAGATGATATAATAGGGTTATACATTACATAACGGTGAGTTGTGGTAGACCTAAATGGTAATTAGAATATTAACTTATCTTAAATTAGACGGAGTGACAGTTTTTGGGAGTGTAAATGTTTGAGGGTAAATAATCAGTGGTCATGGTCACATTTTTATATAGTGCTTTTCCACCTTGAAGGCACTCAAAGCTCTTTAAATCAAGGAACCACTCACGCGTTCACACACATACACTCTTACACCAATGTATGCAGACACTGGGAGCAAGGTGGGTTAAGTGTCTTGCCCAAGGACACAACAACAGCATTCATCTGTGAGTAATTTTCTTTATACTAATGGGGAGTTTGCTTTTTGTTATCTTTTCTGTATTGCATTAACATTTGAGTCTAGAGGGATAAATAAATAACTTCTATGGCTCATTATAGATACAAACTAACTACTTAAGTGTTTCATTCTATTTACTTATTTGAGATATATATTTTTTTACGATATTGTACACTTAGAATATTTTTTTGGGATAATCCCACTTAAGGTTTATTGTGTCAGTAGCATAAATTAATTTCAGTATTATGCTTTTATAGTGTATTTTCCTCAGCAATGTGCTGTTTATGAAAATGTGTTATCAAGAGAGGCCTAGCAGGAGGTAAAATGGGCAGTAATGGACTTTTTTTGTATTTGCATGCATATTTTAAAGACTATTGTGGAACTGCATATTGAAGATAAAGTATTTACCTCCTTAATAAATACCTAAATAATTAAACATAAAGATTAAGGACTGTAGTGTTTGGTAGATTTCTTCTTAATGGTGATTGGTGGATGATGTTTACACTTGAGTCTGGTCACATGACACAGTGACCTTTAGTTTGTCCTCTCTCTGTATGTCTCGTCCTTCCCTCTAGAACCGCATTGATTATTTGGGATCCAATCACGGCTGCCACTCATTAAACAGTAAGTAATCGATAACAGCAGCGATCGATACACCTGTGTAGGCGGAGAAGATGCTTCCCTTTTCATTTTGTTGATATTACTCTTTTTATAAGGTCTGACCCCCTGCTTCTCTATATAGCAGGTGAGGCTTTGTGTGTGGTTTGTCTTAACTTGGGTTATAGCTTTTATTTTTATTAAACTCTTGATACTGGAAATAAACATTTGGCTTCTCAATAGGAGCCCTGTATAATGTATTTTAGGTACTTCATTCATTTACTTCATTCTTATAGTGAATGACCATTAGTCATTTAAAAAAAACATCATTTCAAAAAGAAAGCAATCATATTTTGTTTAGGAGGTGCTTTTTTGTGTGTATGTGAGTGTGCATGGATGAGTGGGTGGTTGTGTGTATGGGGGCTTGCATCCCTACAAATCTGACTATTATTTATGCTGTAAGAAAGCCTCTTCCTTGTTTTGGCCATAATATTCCACAGTATGGCATCAAACTTATCTATCTCCATGGAGAATGTTCCGAAGTATGTAAGTATTTAAACATTTTATTTCTATGGAACCATGAAAGTGGCATGCCACCTCCAGTAAGTTACCTGTACCTTTAAGAAGAGAAAAAAGTTACAAATATTCACTATAATAACTAAAGCTGACTTTTAACAACACACTATCTGTTTAACAACTGTTATTAAATTGGGGGGGAAAGAGATGAGACGAAATGACATTATGCAATTTAATGATAACTGCTGCATAAAATGCTGGAACTGAGTGCACAGTATTTAGATCAAATCTTTCTCTTTGGCCAAAAGTCAGGGACATGAAAGGCCGAAGATTTCAGAGCAAATTTAATGAGGTGTGACCAAGCAAAACCCACACATACTTCAAGTTAAACATAGTAAGGGAGCAATTTGCTTCTCCAGACTTCACGCAACATTTTCTCTTCTGACTCATCTCTGATTTGTTATACATTAAATGGAAATGCTCTGTAATTTCATTTTTACTTTGAACAATAAATCCTTGAATCTTCATTGACTTAAATATTAACATAAATATGTAGAACATTTGGTCTTCTCAAAGCATTAGAACCTAAAACATTACCTAAAGTAATTTTTTTACCCATGAATCTTTAGTGCTCATCAAAAAAGAAGGAAAAAGCCCATGTGATTAAATCACTGACACTGGGCAGGCATAGTGTTTCCAGCCTGACCTCAGCACAACCAGAATACACACGTTTACTCTTACAGTGAAAATTTCATTAGGCCTACACAGCTAATCAATGCAAATGTATGGATTTCATTAACTTTGTATTTATTACTTGCCAGCACTCCCCCATGTCCCAATACTGCTTACTAGTAAACAGATTACATTGAGCCTAAGTGAAGGCTTGCCTGCCAACTAGTTTGTATTTTTTGCTTGTTGTCTTTAATTCTTTATTGTGACAAAGTATCAAAAAAAATTTAACACATCTTGATCTGTAGCATCAATACTCTCTTTACTTCAAATAACATAATATGATGATAATATGAGTGTGAGGAGTGAGACAGATCTGTTGTTTAGGTACTAGCTCTACTACCAGTGGTCTCCCATCCTAGCACTAACCAGGACCACCTCTGCTCAGCCTGTATTGTTTATGTTCAGCAAATTAATATTGAAAGCGTTTTTTAAAATAAAATTAAATAGAAAAATGCAATTGATTAACACAAATCACAAATCATAAATAAAAAAAACAAACTCTTAGTCAGTCTGTGTTTTGCTTTGTCTGTTAAAATGACCACAGTGGGAAGAGTAAGCTAATGAAATCACAGTGAGGGTCCATGTTGGAGCAAAACAGCAGCAGTACAACATTTAGCTTCTGCCTGTTTTATTTATTTTATTCATGGGCCTGGAGAGCTTAAATATTAATGTTTTCAGACATTTAACACAAACAAAAACCAAAGCAGGACATTTGTCATTTACTCAGAGTGAGGCAAAGGAACACACAAAAACCTTTGGTCATTAAAAATATATGTATGTCATTTATTATATTTACTTAATGTGTCTATGCCATGTTATCAAGCATTTGTGAAGAATTTGATCCTTTCACAAAGATTTTCAATATTTTATCGAATTGTTCAAGGTGATTCGTACTCATCAATGGCAGAAACCCAGTTCTGAATCTCTATCTCCACTAAAGTCTATTTTAGTAACACTGCTTCACTAAATGATACGCTACAATTTTGTTCTTTTAAATGTAATTCAAACACTAAAGGAGAAGAAGTAAATGAGTCCAGACTTCACAGTGAGTGGACCCAAGGAAAATGAAGAGATAAAATGGTGATGGGTGGATGGTGAATGATGTGAAGCAGAGAGGAATAAAAACCACCCCTGGATATTCTAATAGAGTTTTATCATACTGAGTCACACTAACAACTGTGTTATCACAATCCTTAACACTAATTTACCAGACAAGTTTTCTGAGGTGACCTTGGTGAAAATTCAATATTTCCTGGAACTTGTTTAGGTCTCAGATACAATATCCCTCACTAATGTTTTGTAGGTACTGATGTTAAATTTTAAATCATTATTTGTATTTATTTACACATGCACAGGGCTATTCTCCAAGATAACATAGGAAGTATTTATGGGGGTGCTTCTGACTCTATTTCCAATTGACTTTTCCCAATTGTCACCAGTCTCTGTAATTGCTGCAGTGAGCGTCGTCATTTTGGTTTTAAAATGTTCGTATTAACCCACTCTACGTGATCCTGAAGTTGTTATTTCACTATTTTCTATGTAAATAAATTCCTATTGCTAATACGGACCTGGCAAGAAATTCACTTGTCTAACTGTTAGCCTCGTGAGCTTCATTTGACTGGAGCCGAATGCTATGAGTGATGTCACACTTCCTTAGTCCACTTCTTTATACAGTTGATGGTTATTCCTGATTTGGAGATGGGTTCCCGGGTGCTACACTGCGGTTTCCCACTGTTCCTGACATGTTACCCCAACAGCATTAAAGTATGGGTCAAATGCAGATGATAAATTCAATATCAACACAAGAATGAGGTCACAATTTTACTTTTTAACACCATATTGCCTAGCCCTACCCTAAAGTATACCTCATCATAATATCTTCTATATAGCTGACATATATTTCTATATTTTGTACTTTAACTTATACATATGCATTTATATAACTATGCCTTATTTGACACCAGTCTCTTGTGATTTTTGCTACTTGAATTTATTATTACAATTTATATTTTCGCTCTTTGTTATTATAATATGTTGTGATGTGTTAACTATTGCGTCCAGATAATTTCCCTTGTGGATCAATGAAGTTTGTCTAAGTCTAAGTTTATTGAGTGTATCTGAAGACTTAGTGAAATACAGAATATAACATTATAGGCCTCATTACTAATAATACTACTAATACTAATATTTCTTAAAATCACATCAACTTGTAATATTAAACAAATCAAGAAGTGAAAAAACTACTTTAGTTTTTTAATAGCTATAAGACTGCAATACTCATACTATACAGGCTGATTTTATTACATTTCAATTTGAAGTCGATCTGCTGCCAAGTCTATCCAATCAATTTGAAGCTTCCCACCTGTATCATTCACTGAAGCTTTTGAAATAAAGAGATGGTGATTTACATAATGAAGATCAGATAACAAATCAAGGCTAATTCAATGTGCAAACACGCTCTCTCAGCTAAGTGTGAGAGACTGTAGGTGCAGCTGTAGAGTGGGTGTTGTCACAGAAATTGTTAGCTCTAAATCATATGCACAGTCTATGGAAAAACGAGGATAGTGTCAAAACAAATATTGAGACAATCTGCTTCATCTCTACTTTCAATTTAATATTCATTTGGCATTTGTTAGAATAACTGACTAACCTGGGAATGAACCGTGGTTGTAGTTACTACATGGTGATGCAAGAGTTCTCCTTCATCCATCTGTGGATTAGAGGGAAAAAAATGTAAGGAAAATTTGATAATAACAATGGTTGTGTTGGGCATATGCAACATTTTAATATTGAGAGTATAGTTTAGGCAATAAATAATAAGACAATAGACACATTTGCAATTTAAGCTATTAAAAGGCCTATATTACACTATTTTCTGATCTAATATAATGTTTCCTCATCACAAACATACTTGGAGTTCACACATGTTTAAAACACAAACCCTGCTTATTTAGACTCAGGTTTTCTCTGAAACAGAAAACACTCTGTTCCACCTTCTGATATCATGTGGAAATACAGGAAGTGCTCCACTGTGCTTTTAAACTCCATACACCTTCAGTAGAATAATTTGGATAATTTAATTTCCAATTTCTACTAAACAAAAGGCCAAAGATAGCAAATTTAGCATGATAACTTGAAAACTACCACTAAATGACATCACAATGTGGAACAGAGTATTTTGAGCTTTTGGAGATGTAGACAGACTAGTAATAATAGGTGTGAAATACACAAAACTCCATACTCCAAATATGTTTTTGAGGAGGTAACATTACATAACATTATACCATGGCTTAAAGTTCACAAGTGTAATTTTTGTATAATTATAGGACTTTAAATAAGGACATAAAGTGTGTTTTTTAATTTTACAGTTCATTCACTGTTTATGCAATACTTAAACCAACATTTACATGCACATTTTACCAGATTTCAGAGTAAGATTGTCTGAATATTGGAAAATGTCTAAAGTCATGCATGTGTTCGAAAAGGAATTCAATCAAAAAATGATTCCAAGTGCAGAATAAGATAATGATTATCTGTCCTAGTGCTCCTCTAATAAAAATAATTGGAGGAAATGAATAAAGTATTTAGTAGAAAGCCTTTTACAACACGAACACATTTGACAGTAAAATATGAATAAGCATAAGTAGCACTGCAATATTCAACACTGTTACTGCATATCTGATGATTTCCTGATAACATGCCTCTCTTGATGCTGAATTATTCTGTGTGTTTCTCCTTCTGGCACAATCTGAATACATCATCTATGCTTCATTTACTGTAATACATTCTTTTGCACACTTTACAATATGCAGCTAGATAGATATCAAATATATGCAGGAACATGCACTGGGAAGGAAGAGCAGTGCATGAGAAACTGTTGTTCAGATTAACAGAAAAACATCTGCCGAAAGAGTAAATTACGATCACCTTTTGTATTAGCTTCTTGCATTGATGATGAATGCTGTATGAGTTGAGGAGAGTTCTCTTCTATACTCTTTGGTTCACACACAACTTCGATCTTAAAGAGGGATGATATGTAACTTTGCTGTTGGAGAATCCCCCACTTAGCCTGACTCATCACCTTTTTTCACTTCATAGAAACTGTCTGAGCTAGCAGTGTAGTAATGTAAACATTTGTAACTGAATGAATGCAAGAGGTGATGCATACATTCCTGGCAAAGCAACACGCTCAGTTGTCAGATAACCCACCTAACGGAAAAGTTACATAGTGCACCTTTAATAAATATCCTCTTCTGTTTCATTATCCCTCACCTTGACCCTGTAAACTGGAGGTCCCATGACCAAAGTGGTCTGCTCTCTTTAGACTTTCCATTTGCCACTGCTCTTTCCAGGCGACCATAACTTTTCTCCCGTACTTCCTGCTCCTGCCGTTTTTCCCGAGCAATTCCTCTTTATTCCCTGTCACGGCTGTTTTTCCGAACCATTTCCCCTGGATCTGTGCGTTGGTGGTTTATGCTTCACTCCTTCCTGGCCCTGTCTATCTCTGCGGCTTTCTATCGTTCACAATGTGCCCTCATATTTCATTCTGACTGGAGCTGCTCATTAACTGCTTTATCTCTCATGTCCACTCATCGCTTCCTATTCCCTTACACCTGCACTTTTTACCTATCTCTCCACCCACTCTCCTCCTTTCAATTCTGTTTACCCGTTGCGTATCCCACAATGCTTTTCACTTTCAAAACTTCCTCTCTGAACTCCTTTCTTCTATCTCCACGCCGCATTAAGTCAGTGAGCAGCCCATAGGAAACCATATTAACACAAGATGCCAGTGGAGAGCATCTTAAAAAGTTCCCAAGATGCTGACAGTGACTGAAAGAGGTCATCTATCTCTCCTTGCTCCTTGTCTCCTCCCTCCTAAGGCAGCTAATTCAATATATGTCGAGGAAAGGGGACAGGCTCGCTTCCTTTGTCAACAAATTTCATTAAAGAACATTAGCGGCGCCATCAAAGGGGTGACAGGGAGGAAATGATGGATTCAGATTAGTCTATGTAAAATGAAAGCAGTAATACACGTGGGCCACTGAGCTCAATCTCTCTGCGCACTTGTCCCCAGCCACTTAACAGGAAGCATTTACATAACCCATTTCAATTCCCATTATTTCTCTAGGAAGGCTTTTGTAAGACTTCAAATTTGTAATTGGATTTTTTTTCTCACGGAAAATTTTTCATTCGTTCTATCTAAAGAACGAGCCATGCTATTCGGTTTCTTTACTGTACGTTGTGTAGACCTAAGAAATGGGCTGGGCTACAAAATTATGTGCCATTACGCCTGATGAGACTTAGACTTAATTAATTATTCTGTCAAAAGTATGAGACTCCAGTGTTTGTTCCGGCAAATCGTGGTCTTTGCAGGACTTTGATTAAAAAGGCACATAACATAATAAAGCTGGTGATTTGTGGAATGGGCTTAGGAATGCAAAATATTAGGGAAACACATTTAATTGACTTAAATAATTACATTTTTTTCCATAAACATAATCTTTAATTGATGCATTTTTCATCAAGCAAGAGTTCTGAGTGCTTCTTCAGCTTTTTTGTGCTTTGGTATCAGCACGGGGATGTTAATTGTATTTAGTAGTTCAACACTGTGTACACTTAAATAAATTATTTAATTATAATGATTAAAAATTAAGGATGCTTTAGAAAACATCTAAAAAATTCTGTGATAACTTTAAACAGTGCCGCGTAAACATGAACTCAAAGATAACCGCGTCTCAGCAGTCATTTTCAAACTGATGCATGCTTGACATATTTTTACGAGCCTGTTTCATTGTAATTTAGTGAGTAAAATGTCTGTCTTTAAAACCAAGATTTCAAGCTGACATCAAATGCGTTTCTCAGCATGACATAGCATCAAATACCTAATATAAAACTACACAGTTACTGCAAAGTGACAGTCACAAGCAGTCTCACATACGTAATGTTGGAATTATGAGAAGATTTGAGTATCTCATCTTGAGATGTCTATTATTATTATTATTTAAATTCTAACATATTACCACCATAACGACCATATATTTAAAAAAAAAAAAAAAAAAAACAATAGTTTGAAAACCACTTGTCTAGCCCTCATTAGCATGATTTCTCATGTTCAACCAGAGTATCTCAACACACTGATTTTTAAAAAGCAATGCAATGTTTGACAGATATTTTCTAAATTAGTGTGATGCTTTGTGGGCTTAGTTTTCACGCGGTGTACAGAGGAACACGCACCTGTTCATTGATATGAATGAGCCGCTCTTGTGTGTCCTTCTCCTTCTCTCAGACACTTAGACAGGCAGCCATGATGGAGTAGGTGCGTGGCTCTTATTGTGGATCATGATAATAGGATTTCAGCAGATGGATGCAGAGATTCTTGGGTGGAAAAGCAATATGAAAGAAAATACTGGTGAAAGAATGAAATATGGTTGTGCACAGACTTGGTGTGTGAAGCCTGGTTGAACTAAAAGCATGGTGTGGATCAGAGAACAGCGTAACACTAGAATGCCTTCTGGGGATTTAACATGAATTTAATTCATGCGTATGGGACATTTGACTGGTGTAGGAGGCGAGGTGGATAAATCTATTAACCCTTTCCTGGAGACCCTATATGTTTTTGAAAAATTTTGCAAAATTTATATAAATAATTACTAAATATAATGTGTACTTTGATCCTCCTATGACCAAAATATCTGGAAAATATCTAGAACAGGGAGAAGCTCAGTAAGACTGAGTGGAGGAGCTTTTTTCATATCTTGAAATGTTCTGAATGCTTCATTTATAAGGAATGGCTGCCAAGAATCTGCCGTAGCTTTTTGCCCTCAACTCTCCCATGTTGTCAGGGATGGACGATCTACTGGACATAATGCAAAAAAAGAAAAAAATCTGCAGTTATTTTACAGTTTCAACACACAGACTCTACCCAAGATGACCTGCCCTCTGCCTCAATTTTAAACATGTTATTAAGTCACTTGAAATCAAACACTAGTACTTACTTCTGTCAAATCTTGAACATAGGCTATAGTCACATTTGTTTATTCACTATAAAGTGCCTGTTGTTCCTTCATTATTCTTATGGTTGATACAATTTGTTCTTGATATGTTAATTCCAAATTGTGTTTCTGCTAATCAAGATAAATTGCACATCATCTTGGAAAAGCAATCTGGTCCCATTAGAAAAAGTAGTAAAGATAAAATGGGAAATACTGGAAAATATGAAATTAACACACTAAATTATATAGAGAATGGTGGTCATCTGGATACTGCCACCATGAACAGGCCTGCCAGGCCACCTCCTTCTATAACATCACATCTGAAAAAAGGAAGATCACAGATGACCAGTGTTGACCCCTTCTCCACTTTGAACCACTGCTGGACGAAAGAGGAATGACTCTCACACACTGTTAAATGTTTTAACTACGTACATACCCGATATCGTGTCATCTGTGTCCTGCAATTTACGATACACATTAGGAGGATGAAGGCTCCCGCCACGTGGTGACGGACGGACGATTGGTCAGAAACAGCTAATGTCAAAACAGCAGCTAGCATGCTAGCTAGAGCATGGAACAACAAAAAATGAAGTGAGTACTCTTTTTGTTTTGTTATTGAGGGTAGCACCACCTTAAGTGTCGATGACGGGAAATAAAAGGACATATATATTTGATATACATAAAACTAAATGTACAGTGTGGCCAAAACAACAATGCAGGTCAGAACAACCAGTGGAAGTAAATAAATTACAGTTGTTTAAAGCGACAGTAACTAGTGTTATGAAGTGTTTTACTCCAAATACAGTCATTTAGTTTTCTTGTTCATTCTTCTGTTCTTCTGTTTCAAAACTACAATACAACACTCTCTTGAAATATTCAATGTATTTGAAGCACACAAATAAGTAACAAACAGTAAGCTATAAATTGGATATGCATTCTTATGCATTACTTATTATTATTACTTATTTTGGAGTAACTATATGCTTTTTGACACATTCCTTCAAAATGGTTCAAAATGCACATTGTTGTCAATCTGGGCCTAATGAAAAATGAACACCCCCCCTTAGACTGGAGACCTGTGAGAGTGGACTTGACTGGTTGTGGAATGCTCTCAGGGCATTATGTGGACAAATATGTGCAATTTAACACATTGCAATGAAAACATTATTTCTATTACAATGGGTGTAAATGTACATAGTTGTCAAATTAGGCCTAATGTAAAGTGAATGCCCTCCTCAGTCTGGAAACCTGTGAGAGTGGACTTGGGCTGGTTGTGGAAGGCTCTCGGGGCGTTATGAAGACAAATGTGCAATTTAACAAATTTTAGTGGAAATCAGAAAATGTGTAAATGGTTGTCAGATTGGGCTTACTGAAAAGTGAACGCTCTCCTCACTCTGGAGAAGAAGCGTGACAGGGCGGACCTGGGGCGGTTGTAGAAGGCTGTCAGAGCGTTATGGTGCAGTATCTGGTGCACAAGCAGCCCTCAGGAAGGTGCCATCTGAGCCATATTCCACATTGAGGTGTTTGGCTGCTTTTTTGCCAATTTTTTTCAGATCTGCAAAGCTGACATCACCATACCCTTTGACTATGAGGTGCTCCTGAATCTTTCTATGCAGCTCGACGACCATTTGGCTACAGTCATGACTGTGGCATTTTCGCCATTTTTTTTTAAAGATTTTTTTGACACAAGCGTGTGTCACGGTGTACAGCAATGGTTGTCCACAGGGTGACACAGGTGGGTTGCTTATCTCTGTTATGGTTTCTAGAACAGAGGTCAGTTAATTTGTTTCTTGATGCGGGGTGTCTTCTGCTGGATTGACTTCCCTGTGGTCCTCTGGCTCATGTGTACTCTCTCATGGTACTGGTGTAGTGGAGCTCTGGAGTTCTTCAGCCTGAGTCTGCTGCAGGCTGCAGATTTCAGGTTCTTCTTGGTGAGTGGTAGTTGCATTTGATTCGCACCACTGTATTATGCCATGGTTTCTTTTATAACCCCAATAAAGGCCAACTGGGACAGGATTTTCACAAGCAGCACCTGCAGATTCACTGCTGCAGGTTGGACCTCCGCCTGGGGCTGAGCATTTGCACCAGCCTCTGATATTAGGACATTTTCCAGGTTAATTTCTTGTGGAACTCCAGATAAATTTTCCTGAGACTCTGGGGATGTTTCAACATTTTCCAATGATGACTTGTCCTCATCTTCCTGGAGTGTGTCAGGTGTAATTTCCTGGATTACATCAGGTGCCATGTCCTGGGTTGTGTCAGGTTCCACATCCTGAAATGTGTCAGGTGGAGTGTCCTGGAGTGCGTTACGTGCTATATTCTGGGTTGTGTCAGGTTCCATATCCTGAAACTTGTCAGGTGCAGTGTCCTGGAGCCTGTCAGGTGCCATGTCCTGGAGCGTGTCAGGTGCATGTCCTGGAACGTGTCAGGTGTCATATCCTCGGTTGTGTCAGGTGCCATGTCCTGCGTTGTGTCAGGTGCCATGTCCTGGAGACTGTCAGATGCCATGTCCTGTGTTGTGTCAGGTGCCATGTCCTGTGTTGTGTCAGGTGCTATGTGGGGCTCTGATGTAATAATCTCTACTTGTCCCTGAGGTGTGGTGGCCTCACTAACCTCAGGTGATTGGACTGGGGCATCTTCAGGTGTCGTCTCTACACTGCCCTGACGTGCTTGAGGTTCACAACACTGGATTGTCTCATGGATTGTCTCATGGGCACACCTCCGGGCCCGTCCCAACACTCAGTCTTGGTTCATTTCTGGTTTAGCCCTCCTGGTTCAGTCTTGGGATTAGTCCTGCTCGCTCATTATTGCTTAGATTAGATTTTTTAATTCTTTCCTTTCTCAGCCCAGTTTTCAGTTAGGCCCTGTTTTGTTATACTTTGATTTTGTTCTGCTGTAAACTCTTTTGAATGTTTTGGCTCCACAATAAAATAGCCAAACATCTGCCAAAGATTGTTTTGTATTGGTTATGTCTTTAGCGAATAAGAGACATAACACCATTATTAACTGACAACTAGTTTGGTAATTGCTACAGTTAAATCTATAGACGAAAGTCCTTAGTTATTGAACCTTATTTGTAATTAGATCAGGTTCAGAAATCTGCCTCATCAACTCATGGATTTAAGTCCTTTCAGCTGACAACAATTATCTCTTTGGTAATGAGTTATGCCACTATACATTTTTAGATTTTGTGAGGAAAAAAGGTCTCCTAAGAGGTTATGGGCCTCTTATTGTTTCTTATGTTCTTATTGTTTGTTTTTTTACTCTGGACCATGTGTCTGCGGTAAAGACATCTGTCTATCCAGCTCTTTATCTAAATTTCATCAGATAATGTGGCGTTAGCCTCCATAGCATATAGCAGTAGATAACCCATAGACTTTTTATACTGTCTATGAGATAACCTAACTTTATGCTAAAATAATCGTTTTGTTTAACTTAACTGTAGCTAGACTAAAGTATTTTTGTAAAGGGCCTTTAGTCAAGCCTCCTAGTATCTACATGTTGTACATTAAATTTAACCATTGTAAATACAGTTATTAGAGCCCGACCGATATGGATTTTGTTGTGGCCGATATGAAACCGATATAATGACAGTTGGAGCTGCCGATAGCCGATATAATCACCAATATATTTAGTGATGTAAAAATTCACTGTAAATCTTGAATTGATTAAAAAACTTAGGTTTGGCTCTAGTGGATTCTAAATTGGGTTTATTTAGGCAACATTTATTGTTATTTTGACTCTTTACATCTTATTTACAGACAGTATATTGGCCTAATGGCATTTTTGCATCACATTCTAGCTACTAGTGAAGGGTATTCCATTTTTTTTTTTTTTTTTTTTTTTTTTTTTTGGAGAACCGGCTCTTTTGGCTCGGCTCACTAAAGCAGCTGGCTCTTTCGGCTCCCAAGCGACACTTGAGATTGTTTTGTTGCAAGCAGGACTAAACCAGAACTGAACCAGGACTGAGTGTCGGGACTCGGTTTCTATCTCTCTCCTGCACTCGAGCCCAAGATTAGTCCTGGTTTATTCATTTTATGCTGAACTGCAGCCAAATATGCACTTTTTTTTTATCCTATGCACACGCAGATTTCTAAAAGTTTCGTTTTCAGCCGCTGCTGCTGTCAAACTACGGGTCTACATGCGGCATGAAGAGAAAAAGTGAGAAAAAGAGAAAACACGGCTCCCAATAAGAAACATGCTCCCGTTGTTCGCTTCAAAGAGCCGAATCTAAGAGCCGCTTCGATCGCGATCGACCTATAACTCCAAGCTAGTTAACTATCGCTAT